CCACTGAGACGGCCCCCTTCAGGGGGAGGGTGGTCCCACCGCCTCCTCAAAGGGCTGATCACCACTGTGAACTCACCCAACACTCCCCCCCTTTCTCAGCTCGCCCTTGCATGCTTGGTGACATGTCAGCCTCACCTCGAGGCAAATCAACTCTTGGGGAACAGGCAAGACTGAGGATCACACCCCTAGTGGATCCACGGGGTCCACCAGGAAACAATGAGGTGTAGACTACACTCCAGGAAAGTTTCCTTCTTTGGGGGCTTTTTTCCATCAGTGCTTTCTGCTTTGTTTGAATGCTCCAACCAGCATTTCCTAAATGCGGTTGAGAAGCCTAAATTCCATCCTCTGAGACACTCCTAGAAAGGCAAAAATAGTAAGGCCAAGGAGTGGGCAAAAAGAGGGGAAGGCGCTTTCAGGTTTTACTCAGGCACCTTCTCCACCTGTCAGAATGAAGCCAAATGAGGCAACCTTGGTTTCTGCAGAGATTGCTTTCAGTCTACACAGTTAGCATCTGCAGCACAGGAGGATAGAGGGGCACTAAGCACTATCCCTCCTGCCACGTCCCCTTTTCTCCATTACCACTGCCACTGCCTTAATGCCGTAAGTTCAAGTCCTCATCATCTCTCACACCAATTTCTCTCATGGACTCATTTCTCAACTCCTGACTTCACACTCCACACAGCCCACAGAGCTCCATTTCTCTACAATACAGACCTGACCCTCTCTCCCTTAATGAAAACCCCCAGCCTACAGGATCAAGTCCAACCCTGGCAGGACATGCGTGGCTTCTGCCTGCACAGGTCTTGGAGGCCAACAGATCTCAGCTGACGTTTGGAGTCACCACATGCAGGCTCCATGGACGCACACATGTTTCTGTGCCCACATCTCCTCTCTGCACTGGGAATAACACGATCAACCTCCAGAGCTGCTGAGAAGATTAAACTCAACTTGTAAAGAGCCTAGTTTTGTGAGAGCAGGCGCTCGCTACTCTGCCGCACCCCAGCCGGCCGTGGAGTCTGTGCTCATCACCTCGCTGCACTGCTGCTTCCTAAAGAAGAACATGCGTGAACTCAAGAAGGCACATTCAAAATCAAAAAATCAAGAGTCATAAACATAAAAGTTAGACTTCCAAAATGTGAAAGAAACCAAAATTAACCCATTATCAAAGTAACGCAAGAGGAGGAAGGGAAGGGGAAGAGAAGGAAAACATTACTTTGGGAGGAAATGCTTTTAAAATATTTATCTCTATGACTTTTTTGGGGGGGTGGGGGGACAGAACTTCCTTTCTTCCAAAGATTAGGAAAATTAGACTTCAAAAGCTCACAAAAAAACATGCTTCTATCTTTTAACTATTTCTTAATTAATATCTTCAGAGAACTAAAAAGGACTTTTGTAGATTGTCTGAATCTTAATAAAATTCTCAGAGAAATTCTGGCATCAGTCACAACAAACACCCTCTTGGAATTTCATTTCCTTTTCAGCATACAACTTCCTACTGGAAGCTCATTTATGATGCCACAACCACCACTCCAAATCTGCCTGGAACATGAAGCCTTCAAAACCCCATAAGAGAGCCTTATGGGATTAGATGGAAACTGGCCCTGTATTTAGTCAAGTCTTAGGTCTATCAGATTTCTCCCATGCCAAACTTTCCAGCTTTTACTGTTAGATTCAACTCTTCCATCTCCTTCCTAGCCCACAGCTGCCCTGCCATCTACCTTACGCTATAGCTCCTCCAACACCTCCTTCCAGCTAGAAACCCCCCAAATTCAGTTTTTCCCTGCCCGCAAAATGAATAAAAAAGGAGAAAAGGGTACAAAATGGGCAAAGGGAACCTAGCTACATTAATCTTCACCTTCCTATCAAAAACCTGTCCTTTCTGGCTTCTGGTTTTGTTCCATTCCATCCTTTTAGGTGATGGCAGGACCTAGAATATTTACTGTGTGTGGGGGGGTTGGAATGTGAAGGCAAAAGTGGGAAGAATTATTCATAAGCACTTTTAAAGTGTACTTTAAAAGCCTTTTTCCCTTGAGGACAATTCCTACTGGAGGACTTAATCAATGCCATTATCCCAAGTGCCTATGGGGAAAGGGAGCAAAAGGGGCTGAAGCCAACCTTACTAAGCATCAATGCAATTCACAGGTGTATGTCATTTAACAGAAGGCAGATAATAATATCCTGATTTTACAAATGCAAAAACCAGGCTGAGAGAGGCCTGGCAATGGGCTCAGGATGAATACTCGGGCCCACCAGACACCCAGACGCATGGACTCATAAGCATCCAGTGTCCCCAGCTGCTTCTGTTACAACACTATCCTAGACTGGAGTTACTTCACAGTTCACATGTTGCTTTCTATATACATTGCATCACTTAAAATCACAACCCGATAAGATAGCTAAGAATTCCTTTTCCACTATTTTAAAAGGCTGTTTGGTTTCAAAGAGCAGCAGTAACTTGTGCGAGCCAGCTGTAACACAGCTGTGCCCTTCCTGAACTATTTTCTCACCTCACACTGCCTGATAAATGGTAGGGGCTCAAATGGTAACTATTATCAGCATCATGATTTTCATTAATTTAACAGCCCTTAGTTAAAGCAAAATTTAAACATATATACATATTACAGATATTCTGAAGAGGCAACCTAATTAGTCTAGACAAGCCTTTACTTGTTGGAGAGGATATAATTCTACCACTACCTCAAACTCAGAGATAACCACTAACTGCAGCTTCCAAGAAACTGACAGAACAGGATTACTGATAATGATGTGGTCGAACTCAATACGGATTTTGAAAGCCACTAATGGAAGAAAATAGGACAAGAGCATTCAGTTATAAAATACAAAAAAAAACCCTCCTGTCCTTCCAGCATCATGGCTTGATCATTAATGTGCTGTTTGGCTTGGCCCTGTCACTTCAACTCTGTGATGACCCTTAGTATCCAAATCTGGACGGCCAACAGGTGACCCAGAAGTTCTAGCATGAAGCTACTCAGACGGTCTGGGAACAGGAGTGGCATGAACAGTTATTACCTAAAGCTCTTTTTAATGTCATGCATTTAAGGCACTGTTTGCCTATTAAGGACACTCACTTTAAAAAGAAACCTGGGAAGTTCAGAAATGTCATATGCAACAGAAATTAGCTCACCACTTCTTAAGCTAGAATGAAAAAGATGACAAGTGTGGTGGCACTAGGATCCCAGCATCAGTCAGACAGAAGGAAATCTACAGTAATATGGCAATGAGAAATCCTGGGGTTGTTCTTCGAGTAAGGTTGCACCAGATCAGTCCAACTGAGCATCCACTCCAGGCTTGAAGGTTAAAACACACACACACACAAAATTTCAGATCCACAAGTGAAATATACATAATTATTTTTTTAGTACAGTTAACCACTGTAAAGAGAGCTGGACAGCCATGTACACTAAATGCCTCATGAGAACAGTATTCATACTCTGTCTAGTACCAATTATTACTGGCTCTTGGTTTTGTTTTGCTTTTTGCCATCATTCTTGCTTCTCATCTGTTTCAAGTCCATCAAATTTCTTTATGAGAATAGGCTGAGGTTGATTTTGTGTGGCTAATCTAGGCTCACAAGGAAAAAGATCTGTCTCCTTCAGAAACCTATTCCTGCCTCCATCATATTGTATAGCGCGCCCTCTCTCTCTCCTTATACCCCATTTCACAGATAAGGGATCTGAAGTCCAGAGAGGACGAGAGACTCATTCAAGGTCATACTCCCTGCTAAAAAGGCCCACAGTGTGGGTCTCCAGCTCTATCACTGCTGCAAATGATCTGGCATACTTGTGTCTTGAATACAAAGTTTATTTGCGGAAGAAAACAATAAGCCAGTATGAGTCATCTCCATTGTTGAGGAGCACCACACAGGTTGTTCTAATTAAGTGTCCTCCAAAACCACTTGTTTCTAAAATAACTAACCTCAGCCAGAGAATAAAAGGCCATGCTGTATACCTCCTTCAGGACACTCACGACCCTGTGAGCAGATGTGCTGCTAGCCTAACCCAGGGAATCAGACCTTGGCTGTACTGGAGAGGGAATGGGGTGGGTGGGTGGGGGAGGACACAATCGTGTTTTCAGGCAGCTCCCTGCGACGGCTGATTTCACGGAGCCCATTCATACTCACCTTGGAACCCCTAAATATCTCATCCACTCAGGGGTCCCTCCTCAACTTCCCCAGGACAAAAGCACTGCAGTCTGGGAAGTAAAAGTGGCAGATGAGGAGGGGCGGTGCTCAACCCAAGCAGAGAGGAAGCAAAGCTTAGCACCCTCCCCCACCCCCTACAGAAACTCCCCATCGGGTCTTCGGACGCCGGAGGTGTCCTCCACTCGGAGCCTGACCCTCTCTCAGGGTCTGCCCCGAAACAGGGGCAGAAGAGGCAAAGCCCACTCCCCAGCCCTCTACCCTGCGGCCGGCTGGTCCTCCAGCCCCCAGAGCTTGTACCCCATGGGGCCTCCCTCCTTCCTCCTCACCCGCAAGAGCCCCCGGCCGGACACTTGTCGACTCCTGCCCGAGACCCCAAGCGCACGCACTCGTTTCTCCCCGCCCGCAGCGGACCCGCGTTTCCTGCCTTCCCAAACCGGGCGCCCCCGGTTGCCCCGCCTCCGGCCCGGGACCCCCTCTCACCGCGTCCTCCCGACCCCCGAGTCCGCCGGCATTCGCACTTCCTGCCCGGCCCACGCAGGCTCGCAGTGCGCCCCAACTTTTTCCCCGCCGTGGCCCGGGCCCCGCAGCAACGGGGATTCCGCGTCCGGAGCTGCAACGGCCGGGCGAGCTCGCGTCTCCTCGGCCCCAGCCCGCCCAGCCCGCACGAGTTGCGCTTGGGACCAGCTCGGCTTTTGGGCCTCCGCGGTCACCTCGGCGCGGAGGCGGAGCCGGCGTGGCGGGAACCCCGCTGTCCCGGCGCCGGCACTCCCGTCCAGGGCCGGGTCCCCGCGCCCGCCCGCTCGCTCGCTCGCTGGCTCCACGGCCGCGCGCCGCTCACCTCCTCCCGCGTCGCCGCCACTGCCGGGAATACGTGGCAGTAGCCGCCGCCGCTCGCGCGCCTCCGCTCTCCTCTCGGCGCCCGCGCCTGTAGCTCCGAAACACCGGACCGCAGCGCCAGGCGCCCTCTGCCGTCGGGAAGCCGGATCTTCTCGCCCTAACCCTAACTCTCCCGCCGCCCTGGCCCTAGCCTGGGCGCTCGCCACCCTCGTCTCCCCTTCCCCCACCCAGCCCCGCCCTGGCCCGGCCGCAGTTCTCGCTTCCTACCTGGGGCGGCGGAGGCGGGAGACTCCTCCCGCGCGCGGTCCCCGAGCCAGACGCTCCCTCCAGGGAGCCTGTCCTGGCCACCGTTTTGCTCGGCGCGCTTCCCCAGGTTCCTGCACTGCCGGGGCAGAGCTCCTCGTCTGAGTTGAGTTGATAGGTTTCCTGCTTTTCTGAAGGCCTCCGCCTCGAAGTAGTAAAATCGGGAGGAGGTGATGGATAGAAGAAGAGCATGCATGTCCCTAAGGTTCACCATTCTCTCCTAGGGCTAAGGTATAGCCCTACCTGATTACTGAAGTGCCCAATATATACTTCTTGAGGAAGCAAAAGAGTGAATAAATGACTAGAGTAAGCTTTTATTTTTTTTAATTGTTAATGATTATGCTCTTACAGTTGTCCCAGTTTTTCCTCCTTTGCCCCCTCCACCCACCCCACCCACACTCCCTCATGTACTCCCCACATTGGTTATCCATGTTCATGGGTCATGCATATATGTTCTTTGGCTACCCTATTTCCTACCAGGTCTGTCTGGGAAAAGTCCAACTATTGTTAGTATAATGAGAGTGTTTTGCATGACAGAGATGTAACCTGGCAGCCAAGGAGAGTGGACTGGAATGAGCATGCGTGAATAATGAGCCTTCACTATACTGGTCAGTGGGGGTGGTAGATGCCCGCTGAGTGAGCATATGTACTGTGTGGCCACAGCATTCAAAATGACTGAGCTAATAGAGCAACAAGTCTGTATCAAATTTTGTGTTAAGCTTGGACATTCCTCTGCCGAAACTATTCAGATGATTCAGAAGGCGACAACTATGGGCAACTGGTGATTGGCAGCTTCATCATGACAACCACCGGTCATGTATCGACCCCCTGCAGAGATTTTGGCACAACATTGAATCACCCAGGTGACTCAGCCCATCTACAGCCTAGATTTGGAGCCCTGTGACTTCTGGCTTTTCCCAAAACTAAAATCACCCTTGAAGGGAAAGAGATTTCAGACCCTGGATGAGATTCAGGAAAATACAACAGGTTAGTTGATGGCAATTGGGAGAACTGTCTGAGGTCCCAAGGTGCTTACTTTGAAGGAGACTGAAGCGTCATTGTCCTATGACAATGTTTCTTATATCTTGTTCATGTCTCTATTCTTCATATTATATGACTGGATACCTTCTGGACACACCTCATATGTTCTACATCCCCATGACTATTCTGCAACTACCTATTTGTGCTTCTTAATCCCTTCACCTTTTTTGCCCTCCCCCCACACATCCCTCCCATCTGGCAACCATCAAAACATTCTCTATATCCATGATTCTGATTCTGTTCTGCTTGTTTCTTTTCTTTCTTAGATTCAATTGTAAATAGATATGTATTTATTGCCATTTTATTGTTCATCGTTTTGATCTTCGTTTTCTTAAATAAGTCCCTTTAACATTTCATATAATACTGATTTGGTGGTGATGTACCCCTTTATCTTTTTTCTTGTCTGGGAAGCTCTTTCTCTGCTCTTTGATTTGAAATGATAGCTTTATTGGGTAGAGTAATCTTGGTTGTAGGTCCTTGGTTTTCATCACCCTGAATATTTCTTGCCAGTCCCTTCTAGCCTGCAAAGTTTCTTTTGAGAAATCAATTGACAGTCTTCTGGGAGCTCCCTTGTAGGTAACTAACCTCTTTTCTCTTGCTGCTTTTAAGATTCTCTCTTTAACTTTAACCTTTGGCACTTTAACTATGACGTGTCTTGCTGGGGCCTCTTTGGGTTTTTCATGTTTGGGACTCTCTGTGCTTCCTGGATTGTATGTCTGTTTCCTTCACCAAATTAGGGAAGTTTTCTGCCATTATTTTTTCAAATAGGTTTCCAATTTCTTGCTCTCTCTCTTCTCCTTCCAGCACACCCATGATGCTAATGTTGGTATACTTGAAGTTATCTCAGAAGCTCCTTACACTATTCTCATTTTTTTAATTCTTTTTTCTTATTGCTGTTCTAATTGGGTGTATTTTACTTCCTTATATTCCAAATAACTGATTTGATTCTTGGCTTCATCCACTCTACTGTTGATTCCCTATAAATTGTTCTTTATTTTAATTGGTGTATCCTCCTTGTCTGACTGGATCTTTTTTATGCTGTTGAGGTTCTCACTAAGTTCCTTGAGCATCCTTATAACCAGTGTTTTGAACTCTGCATCTAATAGTTTGCTTATCTCCATTTTGTTTAGTTCTTTTTCTAGAGTTTTGTTCTGTACTTTCTTTTGAGCCATGCTTCTTTGTCTCCTCATTTTGGCAGCCTTCCTGTGTTTGTTTCTATGTATTGGGTAGAGTTGCTGTGTCTCCCAGACTTGGTAGAGTGGCCTAATGTAGTACGTGTCCTATAGGGTCCAGTGGCACAGTCTCACCATAACTCAAGCTGGGTCCTCAAGGTACGCCTACTGTATGGGCTGTGTATTCCCTTTTGTTGTGGTTGAGCCTCGATTGCTGTTGGCACGTCCAAGGTCAGCCACCACCTGTGTTCTGGTTGGAGGGGGGCAGTGGTCACACAACATAATCTACAAAGCAATCTGCAGATGGCTGCTACTTGTGCTGGGCTTAGAGGTACCCAGGATAGACCAAGCTGTGAACCAAGGCTGGCTGCTTGTAGTGTTGGGCCTGGGACCACTTATTAAGAGGTATGGGGTTCACTGAAGCCAGACACTTCTTGTTTGAGAGAATTAGGAAAATCTGAAGCATAGGCCAAGAAAAGCCACTTGTATGAAAAAGCCACTGGAAACAGCTTGGGTGGGCCTAAAAGCTGGGTGGGGCAGAGCCTCAGGGAATCAGCAGGGTGAGGCAAACAGTGTAAACCGGCTTGATGGGGTCTCAGATATGGTACCTTGCCTGCTGGCTCTGTGCCTCTGTGGGGTGAGGGCTCAGAAAAGGAACAGTGGTCTCTGCACTTCTGTCTGGGAGAAAGCCACCCCCAGCTTTTGCTCTGATGGTGAACAATTCAGTTCCTCCCTGTATGCGTCTGGTGCCTTTCAATCTGCTGTCCCCATGCTGGAGCTCAGAGATAGTGAGTCTGAGTAAGTCTATGTGCAGGCCCTTTAAGAGGAACTACCAGGGAGTCCAGCACTTTCTGTCTTCCACAGCCTCAATCCCCCCTGGTTTTTACAGCCAGAAGTTATGGGGACTTATCTTCCTGGCACTGGAATCCTGGGTTGCTAGGTGTAGGGCTGGGACCCCTCACTCCTGAAATGCCCCTCCTTATTTTTTCTGCCATGCACAGGTGTGAGACCAACCCATTCTGTGTCTCCACCATTTCTACCAACCTCGGTGTAGTTTCTTGTTCAATTCTGTAGTTCTAAGACTTCTATTCAGCTCTATTTCTGATTCTTCTAAATGATGGTTGTTCTATAGTTCAGTTGTAATTTTGATGTGGTTGTTCAAGGAGACAAGCTGTGCTACCTACGCTACCATCTTGATTGGAAATCCCCAAGTAGGCTTTTAAACCTCAAGATATCCTGACCTGTATTTGGGTTGGATTTTTTTTTTGTAAATTACACATGTGTATGTGTGCACACACATGTGCAGCTTAGCATGAATAAATGGGATTCACAATTTCCTACCTCAGACCAGCACCAAAGCCACAAGAGGCCCACAGCTAAATGTTATCCAGAGCTTTTAGTCCAATAGACTTAGGTTTTAGATTTACCACTTAAAAGCTGGAAAGCTTGGGAAAGCTGATCTCCTTGGGTACCATTACCACATCTGTAAGTTAAGACTAATAAAATCAACTTCATAGCATTGTTGGGAGGATTTAATTAAGATCATGCATTGTATGTAAAGCACTTTACACACACATGTCCCCATGTATACTGTAGTATCTATCAGAGGTGTCCAACCTCTGGTCCACAGGTCACATGTGGTTCAGGATGGCTTTGAATGTAGCCCAACACAAAATCGTAAATTAAAACATTATGAGATGTTTTGTGATTATGTGTCACAATGTATTTAATATATGGTACAGAACAACTCTTCTTCCAGTGTGGCCTAGAGATGCCAAAAGGTAGACACCCCTTAAAACAGTAGCTATTGTTAGTATATTACCAATCAAATGGTAATAAGAACTATAGGCAAAATGTAAAATAATAGCTACCTCCCTTTTAACCTACGGATAACTGTAATGCCATGATATGTGTGCTATTGTCACCTGCCCAACAGGGCTAGTCCTGGTCACAAGGCCTCTCCAGTCCCTCGTATCCCCACCCCCAAGAATGAACTGGTCTTGGTTTACCAAAGAGCTGTAGAACTGGCTCTTCTGCAGGATTTCCTCCTGGGTTCCAGTGGCCAATCTCTCAGTTAACAAGTGTTTCTTTTATTGCAAAACCAATGAACAGTTTTGGGCCCCTGCAAGCTACTACCTCTTCCTGTTTTCTTCTGGCCTTTCTCTCAACACCTTGAGGCCATGTTGTCACTTGTGACAGTCTCCTTCCTGCTCCACACATCAAGCAACAGTAAACTGGCATCAGGTGGGAATCGGCTAGAACCTAGCCTGTCCACCTCGGGCTTTCTGCACCTTAGTCCCCTCAGTTATAAACTGTGAAGGATAACATTTATCTGTGGCATTGGCAAGAATTGGTGATCTAGTCTGTGAGCGAAGTCCTCTGAACACATGTGTTTAATAAAAGGCAACTATTGATTAGTTTATTTAACAAGCATTTAGGGCACATCTCCTGACTGTCGTAGGTGCTGTCAGAGTGAGGGAAACAAACCTGGGTGAGGGAAGTCTTCTACCCTCAAAGGAATTTGAGGTCTAGTGGAAGAGACAGGCATGCACATACTAGGGCAAAGGGATTAGGGGGTGCATGGATGTTGCTAAATATGAAATTAGCAGGCC